GAAGTTTCTCAGGGCGCGCATGAGTGAGGACAAAGTGCGCGGTAAAGGCTCGTGGTGGTTTGTGGGGACAGTACTATTGGTCCGGAGTAACTACCTCGGGTCCGGTGGGGCTGGGGTGTTACAACAGAGAGCTCCGAATCAGCAGCAGCGCGGACACGGCCGCGGTCGCGGGAGAGGTCGTGGTGGTCGGGACAGAGGTCGTGGAACGCCACTGATGTACGGCCAGCAACAGGGATACTGGATTCCTCACTGGCAGTCCGTTTACAACCCCCGGGGGTGGCCAGTCAGTTCCACCTGGATATGCTTCATATGCAGGGGTGTGACATCTATGGGTACTGTATTATGTAATTCTGCTATGTCACAATTAAATATTAATGCTTTACCTGTTTGTATTACTAACGTTGGTTCTGCAGGCTTACCATCAGACGAGGGTATTATGGGATCTGTTCCCAATCCTGTTGTTTGTCAGATTTGTTTTTCTGCAGGTCATTCCGCTAAAACTTGTCCTTCGCATTTCACACAACCTTCTGCTCCTGCTTTGTTGACTACTCCTGGTGAAGCTAATTCTGCTCTATGGTATCCTGATTCGGGAGTTTGTGCTCATATGACTACATCTGAAGGTATTTTAATAAATAAATCTCCTTACACTGGCTATAATTCTGTTAGTGTTGCTAATGGTGCCCATCTTCCCATTTGCCATATTGGTGATGTTGCTTTACCTTCTTCTGGTCGTCCTCTCACTTTAAAATCTATTTATTACGTGTCTCAGTTAAAATTTAATTTAATTTCTATTCAAAGGCTTTGTGCTGATAATAACTGTACTGTGATTTTTGACAAAAACTCTTTTTTGATTAAGGACAAAACCTCGGGGGCAGTGCTTCTGCGAACTACCAGTAGTGGGCCACTCTATCCCATCCGTCTACCGCCATCATCACCATTAGTCTTAGCTTCAGTCGTAGTATCTAGCCCTGTGTGGCACCGTAGATTAGGTCATTGCGGTGACAGTGTTTTACAGTTTCTTAAGCTCAAACAATTTTTATGTAGTCATTCTCCTTTTTCTCATTCTTGTGTGGCTTGTCGGTTAGGAAAATTACAACGGTTACCCTTTGTGGATGCTAGTCATAATTCTATTCTTCCTTTGGAAATTATTCATTCTGATGTGCGGCAATCTCCTATTTGTTCTAATTTGGGGTTCAAGTATTATGTATGCTTTATTGATGATTATTCTCGATATACTTGGGTTTACCCCATGTGTCACAAAAGTGAGGTTTTTAAGCACTTTAAAAATTTTAAAGCTTTGGTTGAAAATCTTTTTAATAAAAAAATTAAAATTTTTCAAAGTGATGGGGGTGGTGAATTTGTTAATAATAATATGCAACATTTTTTTTAATGACAATGGTATTTATTTCCAAAAGTCTTGTCCTGACACACCTCAACAAAATGGAGTTGCTGAAAGAAAACATCGTCATTTACTCGAGTTAACTCGCACAATGCTTCTCGAAGCATCTGTTCCGAGTCAATATTGAGTTGATGCTATTTTTACTGCTGCATATATTATTAACATATTACCCTCTCCCACTCTTAATGGTCTTTCTCCGTACCAGAAACTTTTTCACCGTATTCCAGACCACTCTTTTATGCGTGTTTTTGGATCGCCGTGTTATCCTAATTTTTCGGCCACATGAGCTAATAAATTATCACCTAGATCTGTTCAGTGTGTTTTCCTTGGCTATGCATCTGGTTACAAGGGTTACCGTTGTTTTGATCCTACCTCTGGTCGTGTTTATATTAGTCGTCATGTTCGTTTCCATGAGGAAATTTTCCCCTTTCAAACCCTTAGGAAAACCGGTCATTCCACTTCCAGCATTTCTACGCCCTTTCCAATGTCCCTAACCGATGTTTCCATTGATCCCGATGCCTCTTGTCCAGCTAGCCAAACACCATCTCCATCTTCTGAGTCACCCAGGACCCCTCGGTCTCCTTCCAGTCCAGTTCGAGAATCCCAGCCCACGACCGAGACCCCTCCAGCCTCGCCCGACTATTCTCATTTGTTTTCTTCTCCACCCAGCTCACCCGATAGCTATGTTGAAAAAACCGGACCAGTGAGCGACCCGGTCATGTGACTGGGTCCCGGACCCGGAGGGTCAACCCGGTCAAAGCCGGAAAACCGGTCAACGATTATACGTCTATATAATACTCGTAATAATAAACATATAATTATATACACTCTCATTATATATTTTTATTTGTATTGTACATTTATATTATAATTTGGCATGATTTTCATTCTTAAATAAATATATAAATATATTACATAGTTTTTCTTTTTAGGTAATTGAAATTGTAATTTTATTGGTTTAAAAAATGCATTATAATTAAAAAAGAAATTACTTTTTTTTTTGGAAAAGACCGAAAACCGGGTTTTCCCGGGTTTTTCGGGTTTCTTGGTTTGGGTCCGGATCGGATTTTTTCGGGTCAGCCAGGTTTTTCCGGTTTTTGACCATTTTTGGGTTTTGAAGAAACCGAACCGGATTTTTGTCCGGGCCACTGGGTTCCGGGTCAACCCGGTCGGGTCGGGTCGGTTTTTTAAACACAGCCCGATAGTCCACCAACCTGTCCTCTCACTGAACACCATCCCTCGGCCGAGAGTTCTTCCACCACTCCCATGTCCAGTTTACCCACTCCGGCAATAAATCATCACCCCATGCAAACCCGAGCTAAATCGGGAATTTTTAAGCCTAAAACAATTTTCAATTTGTTAGAACTTTTATTGTGGGTCAAGTTTGTCTGTTAAGTCTTGTTTAATAAAGTAGACTAGATATACCATTTATGGTATTAGATTAGTAATTATTATGTAATAAATAAGGTAAAGGGAATAAGGCCCAAAAAGGCCTTGGCCCAACTTCTAAGGTTTATCTAAATCGGTAACCTGTACAACGCCTATAAATATGCGCCTTGTGTACAGGTACCGATATCGATCAATACACATTAGCCTTACGTTGCCAAAAATACTTCTCGATACAACAGAAAGAAGAATTTCTCTGTTCTCGATATTGTTTGATCATTATCAGATCTTCTTTCTTTCTGTTTGTCGATGAAATCCATCTAGCTGTGTATTAGTCTGCATAAACTGGGACCAACACAATTTAAGTACAGTTATTACTCCAGCTGATCCTACTTGTTTTATTGAGGCTAATAAACATTTAAAATGGCGAGAGGCAATGGCTGATGAATTTAATGCACTCATTAATAATACTACTTGGGAGTTGGTGCCCTTTGACGGCACTAAGAATATTGTTGGGTGTAAGTGGATTTTTAAGACGAAATATCATTCTGATGGGTCTGTAGAATGCCATAAAGTTCGATTAGTTGCTCAAGGATTTAATCAACAGGCAAGCATTGATTTTTCTGAAACTTTCAGTCCTGTTATTAAACCCACCACAGTGCGTATTGTTCTCACTCTTGCTGTTTCGTTTGGTTGGGGTATAAGACAACTTGATGTTAAGAATGCCTTTTTACATGGATATCTGACAGAGGAAGTTTACATGTGTCAACCCGTGGCTTTATTCACCCTCAGTTTCCTAATCACATGTGTCGTTTGCGCAAGGCTATTTATGGCCTTTTGCCAGCCCCACGGGCATGATTTCATAGATTTAGTAGCTTTCTTCTGCATCATAATTTTTCTTGTAGTAAGTCTGACAACTCTTTATTTATTTATCGCCAGAATAATAATATTATTTATTTATTATTATATGTAGATGATATTATTATTACTGGCAATTCTGAGTCTACCATTACCCATTTTATTTCTATTATTTCCAATCATTTTTCCATGAAGGATTTGGGTAATCTTCATTATTTCTTGGGTGTCGAGGCTACTCGCAATGCTAAAGGTCTGTTTCTTTCTCAGAGTAAGTGTGTTTCTGATCTGCTAGCCCGATTTCATCTCCACATTGTTAAGCCAGTTCGCACTCCGTTAGCCTCTCTCACTACTCTGTCTCTGTCTGATGGTGAGTTACTTTCGGAATCTATTGAGTATCGCAGCATGGTAGGTGCATTACAATATTTAACTTTGACACGGCCAGACAATACTTATGCAGTAGACTTAGTGTCTTAGTTCATGCATGCTCCTCGTACTACTCATCTTTTTGCAGTCAAAAGAATTTTCAGGTACTTGCAGGGAACGCAGGATCATGGTTTATGGCTACAGCAGTCTAATCGGCCCACTTGTGTTGTCGCCTATTCAGATGCGGATTGGGCTGATTGTCCTGATAGCTCTCGTTCCACAACCGTTTTTGCAATATTTTTGGGTCCTAATTTAATTTCCTGGAAGACCAAAAAGCAACCCACAGTGTCCAAGTCATCCGCAGAGGCTGAATATCGCGCTATTGCTTATACTGTTCAGGACACGCTTCACATTCGCTCTGTATTGTTCGAGGACTTCGAGCTTGGATACCCGATTCAGGAGCCGATGCATTTACTTTGTGATAATATTTCAGCTTCCTATTTGACTGCAAATCCTGTTCAACATGCCCGAAGTAAACACATTCAGATTGACTACCATTTTGTTCGTGAAAGAGTTGCTCATGGAGATTTGATCGTGCAACATGTTCCTACTCATTTACAGTTGGCAAATATTTTTATTAAGAGTCTCCCAAGTCAGCGTTTTCATTTTTAAAAGACAACCTGCACGTTGTTTCTCTCGCACAGCTTGAGGGGGTGTAATTGAATTATAATAGGACTACTCTTGTACTTTACATTAAAATCCTACTAGTATAAATATATCTGTCAGGGCTCCTTAGAGAGCATCATGTTCCATTATTCTCATAGATGTCCATTCCTTTATCTATTCCAAAAGTATGAACTATTTTATCTATTCCTTTATTTTAATTTTTTTATTGTTTGTATCATATTTTACTCACTTTTCTTTTATTTCTCAACATTATCTATAATTTGTTTATATCTTTCTCAATTTGTTTATTGCTCTTATTGAAGAGTGAAGAGGGTTCAGTTTTGCTGCCACTTCCTTATGTGGTCAACCAACTCCTTCCTTCTACCCGCTGCTGCTGGGTTTGCACTTTGCAACCATGTCGACGGAATTTCTCGCCATTGGCAGGAGGAGAAGCATTCATCCGCTCTGCATATTACTCTCCACTTTTCGCCTTCTTCACCGCCCTTTTCATTACAGAAATCATCAGCCCGTCCCTTCTTCATCTCCTCCACCCCTGTGCGGCGGCGCCAGGCTCTTCACGTCCGTGTCTCTTTCCGACCAAACCCACTCACACCCTCAAAGCTCAGACCCTTCTTCTCCGCACCTCGTCAACGAGCTCTCCCGGATTCTCAGCGACTTCAGAAGTCCGCATCATGATATCGAGTCGGCCCTCAGCCCATTCCGCTCCCAAATCTCCGTCGATTTGGTTGAACAAGTTCTCAAACGGTGCAAAAATCTGGGCTTTTCTGCTCACAGATTCTTCATATGGGCTCAAAATCTTCCGGGCTTTACGCACAGCGAAGATAGCTACGGCATTCTTGTCGACATCTTAGGACGTAGCAAGCAGTTCCCGTTGTTATGGGATTTTCTCAGAGACACTAAACCTTCCTGCGAAATTTTCTCGAATGTGTTCAGGGCCTATTGCAGGGCTAACCTTCCTGAAGATGCCATTAGGGCTTTCAGCAAGATGTCTGATTTCGGAATAGAACCGAGTGTGGATGATCTCAGCCACCTTCTGTATGCGCTTTGCAAAAGAAAGCACACACCCCATGCCCAACACTTCTTTGACAGAATCAAGAAGAGTTACCCACCCTGCCCAAAGTGTTATAGCATTTTGATCCGAGGGTGGGGAGATGAAAAGGATGGATTTTCCCAGGCACAGAAACTGTTCGATGAAATGCTTCACAGAGGATGTTCGGCTCATCTGCTTGCTTGTAACCGTCTCTTGGAGTCTCTATGTAAGGGAGGGAAGATTGATGAGGCTTATAAGTTCTTCACAAAGATGAGGTCTATGGGGCTGGAACCAGATGCTTTTACATTCTCCATATTCATTCATTCTCATTGCACTTCAAATGACATCCACTCTGCTTTCAAAGTTCTTGACAGGATGAAAAGCCATGGTCTTGTCCCTAACACCTTCACTTACAATTGCATCATCAAGAAACTCTGTAAGCTAAATAAAGTGAAAGATGCATACCAACTGCTGAATGAGATGGTTGATAGTGGATCAAATCCTGACTGTTGGAGTTGCAATACGATTTTAGCTTTCCATTGTGATCATAATGAAGTTAATCAAGCGCTTAGGCTGATCTCAAGAATGGACAAATATGGTGTCCGACCAGATCGTCATACGTATAATATGGTTCTTAAAATGCTCATTAGGGTAGGAAGGTTCGATAGAGTAGAGAAAGTCTGGGAAGGTATGGAAGGAAGAGGATACTACCCTTCAGTCTCTACATATGCCGTCATGGTCCATGGCCTCTGCAGGAAGAAGGGAAAACTTGAGGAAGCTTGTAAATATTTTGAAATGATGATTGATGAAGGAATACCGCCTTATGCCTCAACATGTGAGCTGTTGAGGAATAAACTGATCGGCTATGGCTTTGTAGAACAGACAGAAATACTTGGGGATAAGATGGAGAGAAGCACTTCATGTTCAATTCAGGAGCTAGCTACCTTAATAAGAGGTGGTAATAGGGTTTGTGTCAAACACAGAGATGAGGAGGAATACTCTGATGATGAGAGTGACAGTCAATAACAGGGCTTCATTCCCCCATATATGGATAAATGAAGAACTAGTATTCCCTTTAGAGACGATCTCTCTTATTCTTCATCCATGTTTTAGTTATATATACATGAACTAACAAAAAAACAACCCAGGTCCATGAGAGTCCTCGGAAGGGTCCCACTACAAGGTTGGACATTGGTCACGTAACAAACATTTACCTTCCCTTTTTTAGGACTTCGCTCCCAAGATTTGGACCCATGACCTACTCATGGTCACACCATGCACCTCAACACATGTGCCAAGGCTTCCATATTTTTAGTTATACAAGAACTATTTAGTGCCAACACTAGTGGTCTTACTATATATTTTCTCGGCCAGAACCGTTTTTTCATTTTTTGGTTCATGTTGCCAAAGTGTTAAACTTACCTAGCTTTTGGGCGCATAAGATTGTGAAACTTGAAATGAACTTTTTACCTTGTCTAAAGCTTATAGCTTCCATAATGTGAAAACGGTTTCAAATCGAAACCAAAGTAAAAACTAAGAAAAAAATGTTATAATTATGCATTGTTAAAGAAAAAGATGCATTTGTGTAATACAAAAGTGCACCAACATTCACACTAAAAGATCTTTTTGAAAAATTGCTTAGTGATATTTTTGGCCACGTGAGCTTTGAAATATAACACACCCAATTTTACTATATTAAGTATTTCCCATTTTTGTGAAGTAGAGCGGGCAGCGGTGTCACAGTGTCACTACAGAGCTAACCAGGGCGTGAAGAATTAGGGCGGCGTTCAACACCACCAATGGCAGAAAAAGATGTGAACCCTAAAGCTTATCCATTGGCCGGGGCAGAACTCACCATAGTAATACATGACTTGGTAGCACAAGATGCCAACTATAAGCAGCTTAAAAAGGGTGCTAATGAAGCTACGAAGACACTAAACAAGGGAATTTCTGGGTTTATTGTGATGGTTGCTGATACTGAACCACTCGAAATTCTACTTCACCTTCCACTTCTTGCTGAGGATAAAAATGTCCCATATGTGTTTGTTAAATCCAAAGAAGCTCTTGGCCGAGCTTGTGGTGTTACTCGACCAGTGATTGCTTGTTCAGTTACTAGCAATGAGGGAAGCCAGTTGAAAGCTCAAATAACTGAATTTAAGAATGCCATTGAGAAGCTCCTCATATGAATGCCTAGTCACTTCAGCATGATGGGCCTCATGGATTCTTAACAAAATTAGCTGAGGCTTTGACTGGACAAGTTGTTTATTCAACATTACTCTTGTGTGTTTGTTTGTTTATTTGTTTAATTTACTCCATGTTAAGAAAGATTGATAATCATGTAGTTTCTTCCTGTCATTCTGTATTCGTTTTCAATGGTATCAGTTTTATTTAAAAAAAAAAGTATTTCCCATTTATGACACCGTGTATTTTTTCAATTCAAAATGATTATTTTTCAATTCAAAATGATCAATTGTATCAATTTTAAAGTAACCAAGAGTCTAAATTTATTCTCAGTTTTCATGAGAATACTCTTTTCCACTTAAACTGCCCCCTCGTCGTAAATAACTAAACACCCGATTTATGTAGCGCATTTTTACAAACTATTAATACGGAGTATTATGCAACACCATGCTATTACCATTTACCAGAGAACTAATATAATGGTTATACTTTGTAGCTAGATTATGCTTATGTTTGGTGGATTCAATCACCTGCTACATTTTTATTTTTTCAATTGTTTTAACTAATACGGAGTAACTTGAAATTTTGGTTCTAAACCAGCATACGCCGGTAGCCATCTATAACCTTTCTGGTTTATTTACTTAGTCTGACCTAATTTGCTTAAATTTGTTCTAGTGTATTCAAGTCTAGCCTGATATATTTATCAGATATTACCCAAAATGGGACTAAAAAAGTTTGGAAATTCCAAAATAGGACTTCCATGTTTTTATTCCCAAAATAGGACTAATTACTGTCATGTTTTGGCAGTACCAGACTTCAAACATGGCAATATTTTCCAAGTTTGACAGTAATTAGTCCTATTTTGGGAATAAAAACATAACAGTCCTATTTTGGAATTTTCAAACTTTTTTAGTCCCATTTCGAGAAACTTTCCCTATTTTTATTGGGAAAAGGTGCAAATAGGCCCATGTACTAACAAAAAAAGGTCAAATAAGCCCTTATTTAGGAGGCTCTGTCTGGCCGTCGTCATTTCAGGTGGTTCCCGGTGGAATTTTTTATTGAATTTTTTTGATCATCTTATTCATCAAGTCTAGTTTACCCATACCAAATTTTAGCTAAAACTTAAATCGGGAAGGCATTCAAATGAATTCTTGAAGATAACTGCGCTTCTAACTGCGCAGTTATTTTCAAAAATTCATTTGAATGCCTTCCCGATTGAAGTTTTAGCTGAAATTTGGTATGAGTAAACTAGACTTAATTAATAAGATGCTCAAAAAATTTCATCAAAAAAATCCACCGGGAAACACTCCAAATGGCGACGGCCGGACAGTGTCTCCTAAATAAGGACTTATTTGACCTTTTTTGGTTAGTACATGGGCCTATTTGCACCTTTTTCCATTTTTATTTATGTTTGGTCTGCATAGAACTGGTCTCATCAAATGGTCCGTAAGATCTATTGGTCTAGTATTACGTATATTTTTCTATTGTCTAAATCTAAATCTTAAGTTTGATATGATTTGAAAATAAAACCAATGAATGAAATCCTTGAAGTTCTTAACTTTTTGGACAGCAGAGCCGTCACTAGACCATATTCACCACCTCTAAGAAATATATATTTCTTTAGTTCAGGACAAAATCTCACTAGCAAAACATTTGTTACATTCTCCGTAACAAACTATGCAAATCAAACATGGCAGATAAAAAAGGAACGGATGAAGTAACAGATGAAAAGCAAAATTAGAGAAACTGTTTAAGAGATGTGGATACCATAAACTGAAAAATGACCCATATGCAAACTTACAATTCGGGTACTCTTCCTTTCCCTTTCTGAGAATTCCTAAACAGGAAACATGTATCTACACAAAATAATTGTTATTTACCAGTACACCAAAAAAAATCAAGAATGGTATTCCCACAGTAATCATTAAGCAATGGCCATCTCTACAATCATCTGGCAAGTATCTACTGCGTGTGTAATACTAAAAAATTGCCGCAAAGCCAACACAAGTTGGGAAATCATTCCTCTTTTGTCCTCTTCATAGTTTCATCAGCCTTCAGCTTCTACAGAAAAGGCATTCCATTACCACCAAGCCAAAACCATTGACCTAGCAGCACTTTTAACTTCACTAATAATAGTGATATCCAATTTATACATATAAATGTATATACTGGTTTCTCATGTGGCTCAATCACAACTCATAGAGCAGCAAATCTCAGGTCTCATAAGTACCGAATCAGACAACAGAGTTGTGGACTTAGGGCCTGTTTGATGGGAGGCTTTGGAAGGGGAAGGCTTGGTCTTTATCTTGATAAATCAAATGTTGATCAAAACATAAAAAATGTGGATTAGATATTATATCGGTATATATTATATTAGTGATTGAACTTTTCTCAAATCCATAACAAGATATACATTAACCGCGCCAAAGCCTTCTACACCAAACTCCTCCATCCAAACAGAGCCTTAGTGAAGATACTCCCTCCAACCACCATATCTTCAACTTGATTATGCAACAAAGCTTCTGTAAGTTGTATAACTACAACTGTTCAATTATATATCTGCGTGTCAGCATGTGCTATGTGGATCACTGATTCCCATTCCTTCAAAAAATCTGAACATAAAATGACTTTAAAATAAACTAAAAGAACAATTCTAGCATACTAGACAAGATAAATAGAAGCAAACATGTGTGATTGGATATATAAGCATGATTACCTGTGATGCATAGATTCTTTAATTGCTTTCTGCATCCGCATTAATATGACACTCTTACATTAACCTAACATCAAATAAGAGTATTGTATCATTTTACACATACTGGTGTGACATATTATTGTACAAGCATAAGCATTTTGCATGCATGAGAGATAGAGAGAGATCGTGCCTTGGAAAAAGATTAGAAATAGGCTTATGCATGCAATGTACGTGGTACTTTTTTAGGGGGGTACCTTACAGCTTATGTCACCACTGTTGTAGATTCAGAACTCTTGGATTGCCATTTTTTTTGCAAAAATACAATAAATAATTGTATTTTTCAGTTATTCATCCATTACATTGCATCTATGGTCCACCAAAAATTAGAATGAGGGCAGCTTTCAGCTTCAGTTGAGCTGCATAAACAAGGAGGCTGGCAGTCCAGTTCCCTCTATTACTCATTTTGATATTAGGGACTCCATTGCCTTCAATTTATCTTCAGAAAAGGGAGGAACTCTTCTCTTGGCCAAACTGATGATGAATCGAGCCTTTCCCAACCCAACAGATCCACCATGCATCTGTAGCCCTTGAAGTAGAATAATAATACTATCTACATTTGGGAACCAATTATTTTTCATACTATCTTTGCACATTGTATAAGCAGAGTCAAACTCTCCGGCTTTACAGAGGTAATGAATCATGGTTTGGTAAACTTTTTCATTAGACTTCAAACCATGACCATGCATAGAAGAGTAGACCCTTTTAGCCACATCAAGAAAGCCGGCACGGCTTAATCCTTTGATTACTAAGTTATAAGTAATCTCATCAGGATTTATCTGAAGCTTATGCATTGATTCCAATAACTTATTGGCATCCCATGCTCGTCCTCTATTGACCAAGAACTGTATCCTAACATTAAAAGTTGCAATGTTAGGCATGCATCTCTTCAGCAACATAAGATTCCACAAGCCATTACTGATCTCTGCTCTATTAATTTTGTAAAAGGCAGATATAAGTGTTGTATATGTAACTACATCTGGACTAATTCCCTCCTTTTCCATCTCAATCATTACCAGATAAGCCTTATTCAAAATACCCATTTCGCAAAATGCCTTGATGATAATGTTTAATGAAAATATATCTAAACGAATATTGAATTTCAAAGAAACATCTCTAAGCAATGACAAAATTGCCTCTGAATCACGTGACAGAGCCAAAACCTTGAGAGAAGCATTGAGAGACTTAACAGTCCTTTGGCAACCATATAAATGCATATTATAAAAAGTATCAATAGCATGTTTCACCATTCTAGCTTTCCCATACAGCATTATAATGCGAATAATAAAACCTTCACGTCTACCCTGGGGTAGAGCCTTCTGCTGCTCAAGTAAGGTTTCAATGTAATCAAATCTGCCAGCTCCTGCTAATCGAGAAACTGTGTCCTCAAATGCAAACCGATTCTCAATCACGAGCTTATTGTGTGCATTTTCCTTGAACAGATGAAACAGCTTATCGGGATCTCTTTCTTTTTTTAGCTTTATAAGAGCAGGTTCGTCCACCTTTATGGGATTTTTCTTGGCGATCGATCTATT